TACACACATATATTTGCATATATACACATTTATACACATGTGCATATATACACATACATATATACACTTATACACATATACACACATATATACACTTATACACACATATATACACACATATAGCCTCAAGTTGATAAATGTTCTAAGGAGAAGTAGAGACAAGTAAGGAGATGTAGAGCAAAAGCTGTAGGATGGAGATGGGAGCTATTGGAAGCCATCCTTGAGAAGGAGACACTTGAGTGGGACTTTGAATGAAGGCAAGGAACAAAGCATGATTCTATGTGGAGGGTCCCTCCAAACAGAAGGAACACCAAGACCCAAAGTCTTGAGTGAGCAGCAACTTGGCAGGCTCAGGGAACACTGTAAAGGCTGCTATGCCAAGACCAAAATGGGAGGGAATGGAATCAGAAGAGGCTAGAAGTTAGCCAGGGGCCAAACCATGTAGGTCATTGTAGATAACTGAAAGGACACTGGATTTTATTCAGGGTTTTATTTTATTTGGTTTTGGGTTGTTGGTATTGGAAATTGAACATATAGTCTCATACATGCTAAGCACATGCTCTGCTTGCCTGAGCTACATCCTAGCCCCAAGGTTTTAGGATTTTTTTTTTAATTTTGTTTGTTTTTGTGTAGTACTTGGGCTTGAAGTACTTTTGGGCCTTGTTCTTGCTAAGTACTCTCCCACTTGAACCACACCCTTATCCCTTTTTTACTTTAGTTATTTTTCAGTCAGGGTATTGTGCTTTTTTGCCTAGCCTGGCCTCAAACCATGATCTTTGTATTTCTGCCTCCTAAATAGCTAGGATTATAGGTATGATCTACCATACTAGGCCCCTTAGTTTTTCAGAGAGAGCCTCATGGTAATTTTGCCCAGGCCTGCCTCAGACCGTGATCCTCTTTGCCTCTCAAATAACTGGCATTACAGGTGTGCCCCACCATGCCTCAACCCCCAGGTTTTTCATTTTTGAGCAAAGGAGAAACAGGATCAGATTTAACTTTTAAAATGCTAGACCATTGATGGGAAGGTAGACACAGAGTGGAAGCTTAGGAAAATGGGGAAAGTCAGACCCCAGGATGTCTCTTGGCTGCTCTGGACTTGCTGGAGGTGGAAACTAGAAAAAAGCCAGTTTGTGTGGAATTTCTTTTGCAGAGGTCACTATAAGCAGTGGTCATCTCACAGTGAGTCTATCTGTTTCAGGTCCTTTAGAATTGTCTTCATTCTGCTGATTCATATTTTATCTCTCAACCCATCTTTCTTTTTAACCACTTTTCTTAGACTTTTCTTTTAGGCCTTTGAGGAAAACTCATTTTTTTTCAATCTGATTTGTTCCTCAAGCCTCTTTTGCACCTGTTATTCCCATGATCTACTGAGGATCAATTTCTTAAAATTCACTGATCCTCTGATATGCCAAATATCAGATACCATTTAAAAAGTCCACTATTGAGGGTGTTTGAAGATGCCAGGATCACCTGCAGTCTTCCTCTTATGAAGCTACAGGAAGAGAGATGAAATGGCTGCACTCAGCACAGGTAGTTGTGGGAGCATGGGCTCAGAAAAGGTCTCAAGTTGGTATCAAAGATGAATCTGGAGTAATGACTGACAGGGCAGGCAAAGAAGGCAAGGAAAAGGATTCTAGGCCAGGGGAAGCAGAGCAGGCAAATACTTAAAGCATAAAATATGTATTTGATGAGTTTGAAAAGTAGATTAGTGTGGTCAGAGCATGCATGGGGTGTGCAGAGGCCAGCAGGGGTAAGAATGGAGGAAGCACATGTAATACAGTGAAAGATAGGGAGAGCTAGCTAATGAAGAGCTTCTTGTACCTGGAAGGAAGTTTGTGTTTTGTTCTGAAGACAATCGGGAAGAGCTACTACAGAGTTTTATGCAGAGGGGGACTTACATTGTAAAACTCACATTGTAAAAAGAAGTACGTAAACCCTGTACTGCATTGGGTTAAGAAATAAGGAACTGGAGACTGACAGTGTGAACACTTCTTTCCCAAGACTTTCTCTTACTCCTAGGAAGGGTACAAATGACCTTTGTCATACCATATGTTCTGATTTGGGGTTGGCAATATGGTCATAATGCTTCTAGGCATCCTATGAATGCAGAGAATGAATTGATTTATAGAGAGGGTGAGCAGAGAAGAGATTCCGGGGACACTGTCTGCATTTAAGATTATAAACAACATAATAAGTCTGAAAAATATCTTAAGTCTATGATGACAAAGGAAAAGGAACTATTTGTTGATCACCTGTCATTTTATTGTGCTCAGGGCTCTGCCTTTAATCTTCCTAGCAGCCTATAAGGTACAGAATATTAGCTCCCACTGCATGAGAGTGAACTGTACGCAAGAGAGGTTTCTTGTACCTGCTCACACAACTGGTCCATGGTGAATTGACTTTATGATTGTTGAAACTGTATTTTCTTCATCATACCTCAGGGGACTTGGACAGCAAGAACTTCTCCCTCTGAGGCAGATTATATATGAGCCTGGAGTTCATGAGAGGGAGAGAGAACAATCCAGTTCATATCACAGTTCATATGCGATTCCCAAGTTGGAAGAGGGGAGACTGCCATTTGAGAAGGAATTGATAAAACATACAAAATGAAACAAAAAAGGCATCGTGCAAGGTTAAAATTATGTGAATAATGATGTGCATTAGTTATTTTAATGTCTTCCAAGTGCATTTTGTCTTGAAGATATACTCAGATAGCACACATGGTAAGTTATAATTGAAAAAACATGTAGAGGAATGGGTGCATTCAAAGAATAAACACACAGCTGCAAGGAGGTTAGGAGTCAAAGGGGTGAACATATGCCCCATCCCCTAGGGATCTCATTAGTGTATGAGTGGCCAAATATGTAGAGGCTAAATGAATCTCACTGTTTGCAAAGACCCACCGTAAATGAGACAATGACGAATCAATAGTAATTAGGCCTATAGGTTGTTATTGACCCAGATGTCTGAAACCAAATGCCCTACTCAGAGATTCCTTGAGAGGCAGGATGAAAAGATTTATAGACATGTACTTCTTTTTTTAAATTCCCTTTATTCGAAGAGTAGAGATGCTATTCTGAAGGAGACAGGGGCTAGAATTAGAGCAGATTCTTGGTATCTGAGTAGAAAGTATGTTCTTGAGGCATCTGTGGAGAATGTGGCTCCTTTGGACCAAAAGCAGGGAGAGCTGAGAGATAGAAGACTGTGATATGCTCATATTCTACCCCCTGGTGTTGCTCTGGTCCTACCTTTCATGGAGGTATTAGAAGCGCTTTTCCTAAAACCATAATAGAATATTCTAAAACAGGATTGGGGGGGGGAGCTTTGATAAATAATTTTTGACGTGAAGCACATGACTTTAGAATTGAAAAGTTTCATTTGAACTTGGTCTTGTTTCTCTACCTTCTTGAGTTTCCTCTCTGTAGAGGGTGTTAGTGATGCCTCCCTCTCCAGGCCATGATGGAAGGAAGGCCTGGGCATGCTCAAGGGATGGCAACTACTGGCCCTGCAGTTGCTCTTTTCCCAGTCATATCTTATCCTCCTAATGTGATCAAAACAGAAAACTTTATAGATAGCCATGAGGTGTGACAGCAAGAAGCAAAGAGACTACTAGTAGGTCAGGCTGCCTTTGCCTTTGCCCAGCACACATTACATACACACAGAGTCCCACATTTGCATACAGCAGATTTGCTTTTCTGCATTTTATATATTGACTTTCCATATAAAATTTTATTTAGTAAAAGAGTTCCACTGATAAATGGGAGAAAAGAGAACTGAATTTTAAAAAAAACACTCCTCTATTTTCTTCTACTTAGTTTAGAAAACTTGCAGGAACTTCCTGAATCCATGAAGACACTTTTGGCATCACAAAACTAGAACTAGAAACCACTGATTCTTACTTTTAAAGCATTTTTAAAATGCAAATCATAAATATCGTTAGTGATATCTTAGATATTAGCCTCCTTTGGACATTGACTTCCTATACCTTTTTCCTTCCATTAGTCAAGCTGTGTTTAAACCTTCAAACCTATAGTTTCAAAGACACCAGAGGTAACTAGCAGAGATGTCGACCCCTGATATCCACTTTCTTTGGGGGTCATTGGTAGCATCTTTAGAGAGGGCAAGGCTATTCAACTTTAATCTTTGTGCCTCACAATAAGATTTAACACAGGAAAAGACACTTGAGAGAGGCTAAGTCATGTTACCCAGTTTGGACAAGTATAACCAACATCTGAGCCTACCACTGTCTTGCCTCCCAAGTCCATTACCTTCTTTTGTATCCCTCTTACCCAAATGTGTGAAAAATGAGGAAGGTGACCAGATTCCCTCATTCTACACATAAAGAAACTAAAGCTTAAAAAGGAGAAAAATCCTACACAATGTCATTTCTTGGGTCAAAGTTGGATGTCAAATCTCTTAGTGCCTGATCCTATCTGCATTCATGACGTTCACTCATTTCTCGTAGCAATTTCCTATATTGAATCCAGGAACGTGTATGTGTCTCCATTTGTCATCTCATCATTATTATTGCAATTAGGAAGACTGATTTTAATAAATCCTTTACATATGTACCATATTATAAGCTTACAGAATGCTATGTCTCACATACATAATCTTCTTTGATCTTCACAATAACCCTATGAGGTAAGTTGGACAAAATTGTGATATCTGTTTTTATAGATGACAAGAGGATGTTTCCAAAGGTTTGAATAACTTTCTCATGGTTACACACCTATAAGGAGTAAAGCCACTCCTAGATCTGGTCTTATGACTCCAAACCTTTCCAGTTTCCACTAGGAATGCCACCCTTTCTTGGTAGTACAGTGAGATCTGAGAGTACAGTAGAACTAGATTCATTACAGTAGTTTCTTTGCTAAGATGTTCAGGAACCAGTTTGCTTTCCTGGGTCTGATATGGAAGCACGAGTAGTTTCTTCCTATAGAACAATTGCTTCCTGACTCTATCCCCCCTTTTTAAAATAAAATCCACTTTTCTTCCAGATGCCAAAGTGTATATGCATATTTGAACAGTCACCTGGATCTGATTAAGAAGGCTCAGCCTGTGGGTTTCCTCACTGTTGATTTACATGTTTGGCCAGATTTCCATGGCAACCGGTCTCCCTTAGCAGATCTGACACTAAAGGGCATGGTAAGTAACAGCCAGTCCTTGCAAGAAGGTGAACACAGGCCAAAGTGCTACATAGTTTGGAAGAAGCAAAGTGAGGAGAAAGGAAAAGAAGAAAAATAAAACAAAACAGGCCAAAAGTACCCTGGCTTCTTGCAGATGTGTTGCTATTGTGAAGGCTGTTGCTGTTCCCCAGGATGATCTGCTGAAAGTTCTCATTGTTCCTGAGCCAACCCTGAGCACAATCAAAGCAGCACTTCCTATGTTCAGCTACTGTTGCTTCCTTGCCCCACGGTGTGGCTGAAAGCCGTGTCTGTGTAATTTCTACATGTATGTCGGTTTGTAAAGTCATGTTTTCCATCTCCATCTCCAGGCCACCTGGTACATCAGTGGTGACTGTTACCACCCATGGTCTTGCTGGTCATAGCTACATCTTGCCTAGGCTCTGAGTCAGGGCTGCTCAGAGTCTACAGTAATATTTTTTAAGATTTCAGATTGAACTTTGATAAGAATAAATGCAGTTAATACCTTATGTTGGAGAATCAAGTCATTTCTTGGTAACCTTTGAGGTCACTTCCAATGTGGAGATTCTGGGCTCTTCCGGAGAGTCTGGATGAACTTGATAGGTCAGCTCACAGAACATAGTAGAGGCCAGGCAGGATGAGGTGGCTAGGAGCAGGCTGGCCATTGAGAATCATATTTGAGGCTGAAGGAAGCAAATTAAAACTAGAGAAGTAGAGGTAAATTGTGGTTCCAAAGAGCCAGGTAAGAAGCCATGAATGCCAAACCCAAAAAGATGTCCAGAAGGTTAGAAGTAGAGTGTGTGGGAAGTTAGAATGGTGACCGCCAACAATGCAAGATTTATGCACAGAATGCAGCAGGACAGTGGCACAGACCTACTGGCTTTAGGAACTTTAGACTCCAAATATAATTGTTTTGTTGTTTGTTATATTAAGATTGTTTTAAATATTTTTGTGATACCAACAGGAAGATCTAAACTTTATTACCTACTTCACATAATCAACTTCTACCGATGAAAGAGATTCATGAAAAGACAAGAAAAAAAGGAAATAGCAAAAGTAATCTTTGTGTGGAGTCAATGAAGCATGCCTACAAGATGAGTAACAAGCTGAGTCTCTTTATCTGGCTTATGGAGACAGAAAAGAAATGTCAATAGAGGACCATGTGTCATGAGGCTCACCTATAATCCTTATTTTCAGATAACTAACTCTGTGTGCAGAGGATAGGTGAAGAACACATTTTATATGGGTACATAAGTTAAGACACATAAAGTGTAAAAGAAGTTAAGAAGCTTGACCAGCTCTTAAGATAACCCCAAAACAAAGCAGAGTTATATAGTAAAATGATCATGGATCTGGAGTGTCTTGGTGTCCTTCCCTTGCCAACATCTGCCATATCCAGCCTTAACACCAGCACTTCTGGGACTGACTCTCCTAGTGACTTTTGTCTGTTTCTTAAAACCAATCCTGATACTCAAGAGACCTAAGAATTTCCATCATAAGGATATTCTAACAAAGTTGACCCAGATGCACAATGTGCTTCCAAAGGAGTCAATGCAGTGTACTAAGGAATGCTTGTCTCATTAGAATAAGTTGTACTCACCAAAAGGGACATTGGGACATAGGCCAATTACATCTAAAAACCCTGATTATTTACTTTTTTAAAGTTTTACTGTTTTATAAAGATGTCTCATAAGTCACTTTATGTTTCTTAATTGTGATTCCCCTTTGTAACTGGTTCAGCTCACAGTGCTGCAACTATTATTACCTGAGGTTGCATCACAACTAGAAGTAGGACATTTCTTTGCCCTAAATCTCTTTCCTTCAGTCCAATTTTTAATAATATAGAAATAATCCCCCTTAAATTCTTCTGGAATCATGTTATATTCTTTTTCAGACTCTACAATGTCATTTCAAACTATATGCTAGAACCTACAGTGCTATTGTATGTTACATCTTTTGGCCAGTCCCTTCTCCAGCATTTATGCAGCATATGTTTATTAGGTACCTAGTATGTGCCAAACACTGCTGCTGATATGGTAAGGTACAACAGTCCTACATTCACAGAGCAGCTTTAAAGGAGTGGGGAGAGAGTGTTGATAGCAAGTAGAATCCTCAGGATACTCCTAGTGGGACAAGACCCTAGAGAGTTCCTTCTTTGGGCTCCTGAATCATTTCTCTGGGCACATAGTAAGTGCTGAATATGTACTTAATGATAATTTATGGGCAACATAGAGCTAATAAAGAGGTGATTCATCACTGTAGAAAAATAAACATGTGAACAGTGTACTAATACCAAGTGGATTAGATGGTTTCTCGCTCTTCCTATATATATGATAAGTATTTAGGACTAATATTAATGTCTAATTTTCTTAAGATAAGCTCCCATTTTTATCCTACTCAGGAATATGTTTGCCCATTAAACAAATCCAGGTCCTGTTACAGTAGAGGAGGGACATTAGCGTTACTATACAGAATGCCACCCCTCGAGACTCGAGACTATGTCTTTGGGAGGCAGCTGGGATCAAGCTTCAAGTATGCGTCATTGCCCAGGCTCCCTCAATGCATGGAAGATGACTGTACAGCCAGACTTAGTGATCAGGAAGGGCTTTACACAGGAAGCATCATTGACTCGTAAGTGAAGGAGGAAGAGGATTTGGGGCCAAGGAAATCACAATACATGCAGTGTTCTAGAGAGGAGACATGTGCATGGCATATGAATGTTCTCCATCCTCCCATTTCACCAGCATCCATGATTTGGCTCCTTGTTTCTTTGTCTAACCATGATTCATTGCATTTTGCATTTTTTTTCTTGCCAAGAGGAGAAAATGTTTTCCCAGAGAACCTCTGGACTCCATCTGCTTCAGCAGCAGCATCCTCTCCCTGTTCTCCTCTCTGCCCTCTGCTGACTCTCATCTTACCTTTGCTAACTATCTGTCCACTCAATAACACCTACTATGTGCAGACTTATGCTCAGCCCAGAGAATAGAAAGAAAGAAAAGCATCTGGTCCAAGTTCACATAAAAATGGGGAAGGTCATTATTGTCCGTGCATGAATGTGTGTGCATGTGAACATCATCATTATACAGTGTGATCCTAAGATTATACACATCTGTGCAAGATGCAGGAGGTGCTCAGCCAATGCCTTGCTTTGGATTTTAAGGGTGTCTGTCTAGCAAACCCTGGCACAGCCTGTCTCTACTTCACTCAAAAATACCTGTGAGATGCAAAAAGACATAAACTCATAAGGCTTTGAAAATTAGGATGATAAAAATGTTCCAGAATCTGAGAGACGAATGTAACTTGCTTGATAAAAGTAATATCAGACATATGAACAAAGCACCTATTCCAGTGAAAAACTCTCACCTTTCCAGCTCTCCTCCCTGGCTGGAAACACACAATCCTTTCAAGTGTAAATATAGAGCAGAGCGGCCATCCCCTACTCTTCTGTTGCTGCTTGGCTTTTATTGTTTTGTTTTGATTTGGGTTTTGGAAGCAGCCAGTGACTTTAATTTTCTGTCTTCCCTGCTCTCAGCCCAAGAAGCCAGCTGGGTAGGCAGTGTGGGTCTGGACACACAGCGAGGGCTGGCATGCAGAGCCTTCTCAGTAAAACCTCCATGTCTGCTTCTGGGGAAGACACAGAAGTGCTTTGAAAGCTCTGAATTTGGAGAAAGAGTTTGTCCAGTATATGTGCCAGGCAGCAGGGATCTACTTCAGTCCTCCAAAGCTACACAAATAAAAAACACTACACTCTGCTAAATGTTATTTAGCTATAAATATGAAGAGGCAAATTCGAGCACACAGTGAGTGGAGCAGAGAGTAAATTCGTGCCATGTGTCAAGAAATATTCCCACAAAGTGAGTCTCACAGGGAAAATATTGCATGCAAAGAAAAATAAAGGCCATTTTGAATACTTAGTGAAAACCCTCTTAAAAATATTTACTATTAAATCCAAAAAAAAAAAAAAGAGAACTCTTTGGCATACACAAAAGGATTTTTTTGTAAGGCAAATGTCTATGAAATAGGGCAGGCACTAAAATTCCAATAACAGAATCAAAATTTGCATTAAAAGCAATAAAGACTGTGATTCCCACTGAAGAAAATAAAATCAGAGCTGTCATAAGACATCGCCTGTATTTTAAACTTACTCTATTAGGAAAACAGAATCTGTGGCATTTTTGTGGTGGTAGGGTTTGAACTAAGGGCCTTAACCTTGCTAGGCAAGCTCTCTACCACTTTAGCTATACTCCCAGTCCATTTGCTTCAGTTATTTTTCACATAGGGTCTTGCACTTTTTGTTCTGGCTGGCATCAGACCCTGATCCCCTTACCTATGCCTCCCACGTAGCTTGAATTATAGACACGTACTACCATACTCAGTTTGTTCTTTGAGATAGGGTTTCACTAGTTTTTTGTCTGTGTTGCCTTGAACCACAATCCTCCTATCTCTGCCTCCGATGTAGCTGAGATTACAAGCATGAGCCTCCTCTCCCAGTGAATTATTTTTTTAATCTCAATAGTACCTAAATTGGACGCTGGTACCAAATGATTGCCTTATGGTCAAGGAGATATTACATTTTTTGTTTGCCAAGTGAGGGAGAAAGTGGTCTGCCCAAGGTTACAATGCCAGAAATTTGTAGAGCTTTAACTGAAATATCAACTCTGATTTTAGGATGTATAGCTCCATGAGGCTGCCTTAATGCATTGCTCTGGCCTTGGAAAAATGCACCAAGGACTTATAAAAAAAGGAGTCACAGCACACACATCACTGTGGTAGTATGGGACCATAGTCCTTGGTCTGGTCCTTGCTCCCTGTTCTTGTCACCATGAACATTGTCACTCACTCTCCCATTTCTTCCCTAACTCTAGTCTTATTTAAGTTCTATCTATGCCTCTTCTTACTACTGGTTCTAGTTTCCTTCACAGCCTCATTGCTCAGGTTGGTAAAGCAGTTACCACTCCAGGTTTAACATGGCTCTAAAGTCTTCCACTTAAGGCGCCTGTG